TGCACTCTGTAGTGTTCCTCCTCATTTCTGCTCTTTTGAATGCAAACCCCTATCTTACCAGATTCTTCATTCCAGAGTCTGATAGAAAAAGATTATCCTCTGCCACCTTACTTTTTTGTTGTTGTTGTTGTTGTCAGTCATGGGCCTTGAACTCTGGGCCTGGGCACTGTCCCTGTGCTCTTCAGCTCAAGGTCAACACTCTACCACTTGAGCTATAGTGCCATTTCTGGTTTTCGGGTGGTTAACTGGAGATAGGAGTCTCACGGATTTTCAAGAGTCTCACAGATTTTCCTGCCCAGGCTGGCTTTGAACTGAGCCTCCTGAGTAGGTAAAATTACAGGCGTGAGCCACCAGTGCCCAGCTCACCTTACTGTCTTCTATAACCTTTTTTTGTTCTTTTGTAGTGGTTGTAGGGTTTGAACTCAGGGCTGCATGCTTGCTATGCTGACATGAGACTTACACTAAATTCCGACTCTGTTGCACCTAAGCATATTGTTAACCTGTCTGTACCTTTTACCTTCGCACAAATCCAAAAATTATTTGTCTGTTGTTTCACTTAAAATACTTTAAAATTACTTATCATCTCTCGTTTTTCATATTGACTATTTTGTTTCTTCTCTCAACTTTAAATTTCATTCCTAAACAAAACAGTTACAGCACGTAAACTCAGTGACAAAAAACTTTTAATTTTAGAGATCAGAGACCAGAAATTCAAGGCAGGTGTGAAGTCAGGCTGAAGAAGGGCTCAATTGGTAAAGAGCCAGACATGAGCAAGGAAATTAAGCAGGTATGAGTTCAAACCCCAGGACCAGAATAAAAGAAAATTATTTCTTTTCTCATTGAACTACAAAGACAATTTAAGGAAAAGCTGATGTAATGTTATTTCTACTCTTTAGCTTTGCATCAGATATATTCTCTAGGCTTCTAAGCTAAAAAGACAATTATGCCTGGAGCATCTGCCTCACCGTCCATTCTTCTGAGGAAACCTGACCCCATGAACCTATGCCCCTCAAGCTACATGATAGGTTCTCCACCACAACACAATGTTTAAAATTTGAGGTAGATAGTATTCGAAATACTTTCTTGATAACAGTTGGCATTATTCACTTTAAAACCTAAGGAACAACTGCTGGGCACTGGTGGCTCACGCCTGTAATCCTAGCTACTCAGGAGGCTGAGATCTGAGGATCGCGGTTCAAAGTCAGCCCAGGCAGGAAAGATCATGAGACTCCTATCTCCAATAAACCACTAGAAAACCAGAAGTGGCGCTGTAGCTCAAGTGGTAGAAGTGGTAAAGCACTCGCCTTGAGCTGAAGAGCTGAGGGACAGCGCCCAGGACAGCGCCCAGGCCCAGAGTTCAAGCCCACGACCGACAAAAAAAAAAACCTAAGGAACACATATAAGTATGCAGTTTAACTGCAATAAAGTTATAATTGGGCTATTTTTAAGAATGTCATAAGCTGGGCACCAGTGGCTCATACCTATAATCCTGGCTACTCAGGAGGCTAAGAACTGAGGATTACAGTTCAAAGCCAGGCAGGGAAGTCCATGAGACTCTTATCTCCAATTAACCACCAGAAACTGGAAGGGGCCCTGTGGCTCAAGGGGTAGAGCGCTTGCCTTGAGCTGAAGAGCACAGGAACAGTGCCCGGGCCCAGAGTTCAAGCCCCACAACCAACCCCCCCAAAAATGTCATAATTATTTTTTATGTTTAAATTTTGTAGGTTTTCTGTTTGTATATATCTATAGTTTTTTAAACCATGCATCAGTGGCTTACATCTATAATCCTACCTACTAAGGAGGTTGAGATCCAAAGGACTGAGATTAAGCTAGCCCAGGCAGAACAGTCCAACTCCAAAATAACCAGCAAAAAAGCAGGGCTGCAGGCATGGCTCAAGTTAGAAAGCACCATCTGGGGGCTGAGAATGTGGCTCAATGGTAGAGTGCTTGCTTAGAATGAATGAAGCTCTGGGTTCAATTCCTTAGTACCATATAAATAGAAGAGCCGGAAGTGGTGCTGTGGCTCAAGTGGTAGAGAGGTAGCCTTGAGCAAAAAGAAGCTCAGGGACAGCGCCTAGACCCTGAGTTCGAGTCTAGGACTGGCCAAGATAAAAAAAAAACAACAAACCACCACCTGAGCAAGCACATTGAACAAGCAGGTCTTGAGTTCAAACTCTAGTACCACCCAAAACAATACTTTCATTATTTTTATTTTTAGCTTTTTTATTTTTAAGTATAATAATACTTGAGAAAGATTTCATTTTCTAAATCATAACAAAGAAATCTAAATAAATGCTTTTAAAGGGTATTTCTTGAAATTTCAGTTTTTAAACAATGTTTTTTTCTAGTGAACAATTAGCAAAACTTTTGAATTTTATCTATAAACCCTAAAATGTGATCTATACAAGAATCAGAACATTGGGCGTATCCATTTATTGGAACACTAAAAAACAATGTTCAAGAACAACCTGTGGACTGCCTCAATGCCCGCCTGCCTAAGTAAGGGTAGAGATATGGCCATCCAGGAGCGCCTGCTTAGAAAATGACTTCACTAAACACACTGAGCTGGTGTAAGTGAAAAGTAAAGAGAGATTTCTATAGCCAGGAATGGAGGAAAAGACAACAGGACTGGCAAACAGTACCAAGACAATTCAATAGGGAAAACAGTATTTTTCTAACAAATAGTAATGGGACTACTGGATATCTACATGCAAAAGAATAAATATGGACTCCCTAACCTCATACCATATTCTATCATTTAAAAGCAAAATGGGCCATAAGCCTAAATGTAAACTATAAGACTGAAAAGACAGAAGTAAATCTTTAACCTTTGCCTTTTTACATATAACACTATAAACCTAAGCAACCAAAGAAAAAAAATAGGTAAACCACACTTCTTCAAAATTTAAACCACTTGAACTTCAAAGGTTACCATTAAGAAAGTGTAAAGACAACTTACAGAATGCAAGAGAATGCTTGCAAATCATCTAGCTGAATGTCCAATATTCAGGGTAAAGAACTCTTTTCTCAACCAAGTGATAGTGGCTCATACCTATAATCCTAGTTACTCAGGAGGCTGAAATCTGAGGATCACAGTTCAAAGCCAGCCCAGGCAGGAAAGCCTGTGAGACTTTTGAGTTGTGGCTAAAGTGATAGAGTGCCAGTCTTGAGTAAAAAAGTTAAGGGACACGCTGGGCACTGGTGGCTCATGCCTGTAATCCTAGCTACTCAGGAGGCTGAGATCTGAGGATCGCGGTTCAAAGCCAGCCCAGGCAGGAAAGACCATGAGATTCCTATCTCCAATAAACCACCAGAAAACCGGAAGTGGCGCTGTAGCTCAAGTGGTAGAGCACTAGCCTTGAGCTGAAGAGCTGAGGGACAGTGCCCAGGCCCAGAGTTCAAGCCCCACGACCGACAAAAAAAAAAAGTTAAAGGACAGCACCTAGGCCCTGAATTCAAACCCTAGGACTGGCACCAAAAAAAAAAAAAGGTATAAAAGAGAATAGAAAAGATATAATCACATAAACTTACAAATATTCATAGCAACATTATTCTTAGTAGTCAAAAGCAGAAATAAGTCAAATGTCCAGCAACTGGGGAGAGGGGTATGCAAGTTTTATAGCACTTAGCTAACAAACACAAGGCCCTGAGTTCAAATTCTAGTACTCCCCAGACAAAAAATGTCTACCAACTGATGAATGGTTTAACAAAATATGGTATGTCTATACAAAGATGTGTTACTTGGCAATAAACAGGAATGAAAAATGTGGATGAAGCCTGAAAATAAGTTACAGGAAAGAAGCCAATCACAAAGGAATATGTATGTTCTTTATATGAAATATTCATAATAGATAAATCCCAGAGACAGAAAATAGACTTAGTGGTTACCAGGGACTAAGGCAATGAAAATGTTCTAAAATTAAGAGAGTGGTGACAGTTACACAACTTTGAGAATATACTAAAATCCACAGTCTTAAGTGGTAGATTTTATGGTATATAACTCATGTCCTTAAAATAAAAGGGTTAGGGTGTCTAGTTCAGTGATAGAGAAATTTCCTAACATTTGCAATGATCTAGAAGTTCAATTCTCAAAACTGAAAAAAAAAATGTACTTAAAAAAAAACTAAAAAACAAAAAAAATATGACAGCTCAGTTGGCTTTACTATTCCTTTGCTATTTGCTTTGCTATTCCTGAGCGTGATTATTCTGAATTTCTGTCAGACTCTGCCCATCTGCTTTGAAATCATTATATAACCTTCATGTAAGGGAAGTCTTCCTAGTTCTGTTTTCTGGAAGAGTTAATATAAAAGTGAAATAAAAAGAAAAATAAAATCCTGTAAAATCACTTGGACCAGATGTTTTTCTTGTGTCAAAAGTTAAAATCATTTATAAAAGGTTTAAAAAGCTTTCTATTTACTCTTGAATCTGTTTGGTTAAATTCTATTTTTTTAATAACTTGTTCATTTGGTCTCTTTTCTCATACACTGACATAGACTGAGCACTTTTTACACCACCTCTCTCCTCTATCTGTGGCATGGGTTAATTATACCTGTGGTTTGTGATTGTGGTCATTATGACCATCCTTTATCTTTTATATTAGTTTTCTTGAAGAGTCAACTTAACGCTTCTTGATTTTCTATATTGAATATTTTAATCATTTCTACATTGCCTCCTTTCTTTTTTCCCCTCTAATTTCTTTGGATTGTTTCTGTTGTACCATTTTTCATGTAAGATGTTAATCATTCCATTATTTCTGATCAAAATTTAGAGATCTAATATTTTTTAAATACTACTTAGCTGATCCCCATTTAAAAAAAAAAAAAGGATGTGGAATCCACTGATACTTTATACATCTATTTTCTTATTTCAGAACTTTTCAAAAATAAAGAACAGTCAAATCACAGTTTTGAATATGTACAAAACGTTATATATACTCTGCCAAAGACACATGAAACAAAGGAAGCTACAACATTTGTTCAAAGTGAATCTATTAAAATGACCTGTGTTTGTGAAAGCTGAATGCTCTGGACCTGTGGAAGCAGAAAATAAGCATTTGGCAGCTGCTCTGTAGACCCTTCAGTAGAGATTCTGCGAGTGCCAATACCAGATACCTGCAGAAGGAGGAAGGAGGACTCCTATTAGGGTCTTAAACAAATAACCTAATATTAAAATAGAAAATCTACATTCATTAATGTAGCTGGTTGACTCAATTATTACATTTATTATCTAAATGTTTAAGTTGAATGTTTCTTATTAAAGCTTTATGAAACCATGTGTTTAATGAAATTTGAGAAGAATCGATTTATGTTGGCATTTAAAGGAGTTGATACCACATCCTACTCAAGATGTCCAAAGTGCCACACTGAAGGCTGTATGATTCCTAACTACTTTAGTGAACAGAATACAATTCTTCATGTTCCCTTCCTAGTACTTTGATATGAGAAGGACCCCTGACCACACCATCAGTTCTCCTGACCATAACCATGCAGGGGGAAAAAAACCCAGACATGTCCTGGCAGCACACTCTCTCTTATGCGGTGGGTGGTGGGAGTCTATTATATTATACTATAAAACTATGATGGTAGATAAATCTGTTTTGCCCCAAAATTCTTCAAAGGCCCAAGGAAGGTTATAGCTTCTGCAGTCTTTACTGAAGATAGTGGCATATGAAGCAGAAAGATGAAAATGATTAACATCATTAACAGGCTCATATTTTAACAAATAAAAAGCAGGTGACAGAATTTTCAAAAGCCTTTAATCAGGCGCCAGTGGCTCACAACTGTAATCCCAGCTATTCAGGAGGCTGAGATCTGAGAATCGCAGTTCAAAGCCAGCTACAAAGTCCCTGTAAGACTCTTATCTCCAATTAACGACCAAAAACAAAACAAAACAAAAAACCAAAAACCATGGAAGTGGTGCTGTGGCTCAAAGTGGCAGAGCACTAGCCTTGAGCAAAAAGAAGTTAGCTAGCCCAGGCCCTGAGTTCAAGCCCCTCTGTTAAGTCAATAATCATACTATATGCCCAGATGAAAACCTACTTACATGATAGGAAAGAACTCCATGTGAAGAAGTATTAATAAATAAAGAACTTTCAATGCTTCCTTCTTCAGTAGGGAAAAAAATAATTCTGAAGGAAGTTTTCCCCATTGCTGGAATTACCTGAAAGAAAGGTTCCTAATTAGCCATTTTGGAATGAATTTCTTCGATGAATTGTCTTTTCCAGACCTTCTTTTTGATCATTTCTGTCAACAAATATTTGTATATTCTGTACCATTGACTTACTGGTATAATGAGGGCCTGAGTGTCCCCAAAATAACCAACTCTCAACAATTTAAAAACATATGGCCAATTGTGGCACATGTTGTCTCTACTTACGTATAAATTATTAGTGTGCGAACATGTTGATGTATGGATAAAAATCAAGGACAATAAACCAAACACTAAGCTTCCCATGTAACATTTTCTTAGACTCATATAACATTTTCTTAGACTCAAAGTATTTTGAAAAGTCTCTAACATTGGATAGATACAGCAAAGCAAATTAAGGTGCACTACCAATCAGTTAAAAGCTGCTGAAAAATCAACTAGAAGACTAGGATTTTGAACTGTTACAGTGTTGTTAAGTTTATAAGGAGCAATCCTTTCTTTTTGATGGAATGAGGAATAGTGTGGTGTGGGGGTCTCTTTATTCTCCTTTCTCAGCTTGGCAAATTCTTGGCTAACAAGTTTGTATCAGTATACCTTTTATTCTTACATTTAGAAGTTAAGTCCTGGCTTTCTTAGTAGGTTTGAGAGGTGGGAGAGGTCACTACCATAAATTTGTGTTAGGTACTAATGCCTCAGCATCTGGATTAATGTCAGGCAATATAAACCTTCTTTCACCATGATAAATCTACACTACATAAATGTGTGTATTTGTGTGCATATACATATATGCATTTACACATACACACATCTCTATTACTACCTAGTTTATTTCATCTTTATTTTTCCCATAGTTATTCAGAGCCACCACCAATGTTATGAAAATGAACTACTGAAAAAAATACTGTAAAGCAAACACACAGAAGGGAAGAGTCTGAGTAGCAGAAAAGGGGGAAAAAAGGAACGGAAAGTTAAAACTTGAGGCCAAGGAAAGCAAAAGACCTTGGCAGCTTGCCACAGCATGGTTTCCAGAGTATACCAACACTCACCCTGCAATGAACAGGAGACACATGAAAATGTCTAGCAGCTGTAAACACTGAGTTAACCACAACCTCACTCTCCCTGCTAGGGTTGTATGCATGGAGAATCTTAGCTGCAGGGTGTCCCAGGTACCTAAGAAGAGAAACAGAAAAAATAATGTATTGTGCGGTTATCAACTATTTCTATACATATAAATTCATAGATATAAGATGCACAAGATACAAATTTTTTGGTGCTAGGGATTAAACCCAGAGCCTCACACAGATTAAGTACTCTAACGCCGAGTTACACTGTCAGGCCACACAGTTTTTTTACATTTTTATTTTTTGCTGGTCCGGACCTAGAACCCTGGGTGGGCCTGGGTGGTGTCCCTAAGCTCCTTTTGCTCAAGGCTAGTGCTCTACCCCTTGAGTCACAGCTTTACTGACATGATTAATTAAAGATAAGAATTTCAAGGACTTTTCTACTCTGACTGGCTTCAAACAGTGATCCTCAGATCTCAGCCTTCTGAGTAGCTAGGATTACAGGCATGGGCCCCCAGCACCCAGCTAGACACACAGTTTTAAAACCATAACACTATTGATGTTTATTACTAAGTTTAAAACAATAATCATCAAATCCTGTTGGTAATAAAACATTTAAATCATAGTAGTCAAGCACACACACACACAAACAACAACAAAAACCTTTATATAAGACATGCCAACCCACAGCAGATCCCACTGATTTCTGTGTTGGAAGAAGTTTATCTATCTAGGCTATTAAACATTTGTTTAGAAAGCAAAATAGAAAAATAAAATAAAAAATAAAAAACCAAAAAACCTCTCTCTGGCAGTTAGTGTCTCTCATTCAAATGAAAATATCTTTAGATAAGAAACTATAATCACAGAAAAATGCTTACTTTCTTAGGGCTTATTTTCTGAGTAATGAATTTAAAGAGGTCTTCTTGGGGAAGGCCTTTTTAACTCACAAGGAGAATTTATTTTATTAGGGCTTATAAAATGAAAACCTAATTGCTGCTTATGGCCATTCTGAGAAAGATTGGACACCCTGTAGCACTTTGAGCAGCCATTCTTATCTATTTAAATTATGAGCCTTTGGAAAGCTCTGATGAAGGCTATGGCTCCTCCCTCCATAAACATGCACACACAAAGGCTTATATATCACTGTCAAACTTTCCACCAACCTCTCATGTTAGTTCTTTCCCCAAGCTCTAACAAAGGTACTGCAAGAGGACAGGAGCTAGTCTCTGGACCACCTATCCAGATCTACCTATGATAGTCCCTTGAATCATTTCACTTTGATTCCCACTGCTCCAAATTCACTTTAGTTCAATTATATTATAATAAAGAGCCTACAGTTCTTATTAGCATGGGCCAGAACTAAAACGACTCCAATTTAAGCAGAAACTTCGTATTGATTACCCTTGTATTTCTCTAGTTTTATTCTGATAGCTCTAAAGTATTAAAAAATTGTGCTTTAGGAAAAAATGCAATGACTGCATATGTTTCTCTCATATATAAAATACTTCTCCAAGTACTAACCACCACCAAATCCTTAGTTTTTCTTCTAGTTTTCACTCTTTCAATCACTAAGTCTCTTGAAAGACTTCATATACTCAATATGCATTTTTAAACCTAAGTTTTTCATCACTACTTGAATAAAACACACATCAATGCAATTTTAAAAAGAGAAACTTTGATTCTTCTAGTGTTCTCAAATAATATTATTAAAAATTTTTATACTACCATAAACATAAAGGTACCCCAAATACCCCCAGGTAAAGATATCTCAAGATACCCTTACTTCAGAGTAGTTGGTTATTATTTGCCTCTCTTCCCATAATTAATTTTAAATGAATAAGGATTCTGATGGTTTTGAGTCATTTATTAGATGCTGTTTATATAACTGCAATGCAAGGTATCTGGTCTCAAAGAAGAACGTATACTGGACAACATCAGAAGACAATGACACATACAGAGGGCTCCTCAGCTTGGTGACAGCAGCTACCAGAATCGCTACTGAAGAGCATCAGAAGATGAGGCTGCGTGAACAGAGCTCCTCAGCCCAGTGACAGAAGCCACCAGAAACTTCGACAAAACGAGTGCTAACTGACTAAGCTATTACTTAGCTATATTCTATTTTTTAATTTTTTTCCTGGTTTTGTTTTTTGCTGTCCTGGGGCCTGAACTCAGGGCCTGGGTGCTGTCCCTGAGCCTCTTTGCGCTCAAGGCTAGCCCTCTACCACTTGAGCCACAGTGCCACTTCTGGCTTTTTCTGTGTAGTTTACTAAAGGTATGAGTTTCATGAACTTTTCTGCCCAGGCTGGCTTTCAACCACACTATCTTCAGATCTCAGCCTCCTGAGTAGCTAGGCTTACAGGTGTGAGCCACCATTACCTGACTTCCCCCCAACCCCATCCTGGGGTTTGAACTCTCGGCCTGGACTCTTGTCTCTAGACTTGTTTTGCTCAAGGCTAGGACTCCACCACTGGACTACAGTGCCACTTCCAGATTTTTCTGAGTGTTTTATTGGAGATAAGAGTCACAAATTTTTCTACGGAAGCTGGCTTTAAACTGTGATCCTCAGATCTCAGCCTCCTGAGTAGCCAGTATTACAGGCATAAGCCACTGGTGCCTGGCTTGTATTTTTTAATGTGTTATGAAGATACAAATTTCCTTCACTAATGACAAACGGAAGATAATTCAGCACTATAAAAGAATAAATAAAATCTCTTATGAATGATTAGCACTTTTAATCTTGGGGCCAGCGAAATGTTAAGCCTAAAAATAAGTCCCAAGAAGCAGGCAGAGGCAACTGAGTAACATGATCTTAATTCTGCAGCCAAAAGGGTAGCCAGAGCTATGAAAAGGCATGAGGTTTGCTCAAGGTCACCATTAAAATAAACAAAAGCTAAAGTTGAACCAAAGCAGAAGAAAACAGAACTTCCTGGTTATGTTTGATTCTAATGACCATAAATTATGCCATTTGGTAGAAGAAAGGTAAAACCTGACTCAAATGTCTTCTAATTTAGACTAGCGTATACTCTTATTAACATTTTTTTAAAACCTGGTGCCCTTTCAAATCAAAGTCTTTAAACATTCTCTGGCTATCAGAGGCAGCAGTTTATATATGTAGCAAAGACAAATGTAGTTAATATATACATGTACCCAACTGCATTGATTATACTAAAGAATAAATATATTAAGAACAAATATACTAAAATATATATATTATACTGAATAAATATATTAAGGCAGTCAGGATCCAAAGAACTGGAACTGGTCTCTTTATCTAACTATACTTACTACAACTGTTTTATTGTAACTACCCATTTATAATATAAACCCTTTAATGTATCCTAGCCTAAAAGATTTCCTTTGATAATAAAGACTTTGCACAAAAGCAAAAAACTCAAACAAAACTTGAAATCACTGAGGTAAATAGAAGTCCATTTTATTTTATCTGTATTCTCAGTGAAATATTATAAACTCAGATTCTAGCAAATTTTAAATAAAAATATAATGTGTATTTTTAAAAGCTGACATTTAGTCAGGCATTAGTGGTTCATGCCTATAATCCTAGCTACTCAAGAGGCTGAGATCTGAAGATCATGGTTTGAAGCTGACTTGGGAAAAGCCATCAGACAGGAACTGTCAAGACAGTGCTACTTTGAGTCCTAAAGGTACATCAAGAAAGAAAACCAAGTGAATGACTGAATTAAGCTTTAAAAAATTCTGAAACCACTAGGAAATAACATTGTTTCAGAAAAACCAAGGCTTAATATTGGCTTCTTACTGAATTCTAACCACCACAAAAATAGCACAAGAACTAAACTTTAAAAACTACAGAAAGGGGGCTGGGAAGGTGGTTCAATGGTAGAACGCTTGCCTTGCATGCTCGAGGCCCTCGGTTCGATTCCTCAGCACCACATAAGCAAAAAGAAAAAAGCCGGAAGTGGCGCTGTGGCTCAAGTGGTAGAGTGCTAGCCTTGAACTGAAGAGCTGAGGGACAGCGCCCAGGACCAGAGTTCAGGCCCCACAACCGGAACCAAAAAAAAAAAACTACAGAAAGGGCCAGGTGCTGGTGGCTCAGGCCTATAATCCTAGCTACTCAGGAGGCAGAGATCTGAGGATCACAGTTTAAAGCCAGGGGCTGGGAAGGTGGCTCAGTGGTAGAGTGCTTGCCTTGCATGCATGAGGCCCTGGGTCCGATTCCTCGGCACCACATAAGCAAAAAGAAAAAAGCTGGGAGTGGCACTGTGGCTCAAGTGGTACAGTGCTAGCCTTGAGCTGAAGAGCTGAGGGACAGCGCCCAGGCCCAGAGTTCGGGCCCCATGACAGGACTGGGCCTCCCCTCCTCCCAAAGTAATAAAGCCAGCCGGGGAAGTAAAAGTCCATGAGACTCTGATCTCCAATAAACCACCAGAAAACTGGAAGTAGTGCTGCGGCTCAAGCGGTAGAGCATTCGCCTTTGAGCTGAAGAGCTGAGAGACAGCGGCCAGGCTCAGAGTTCAAGCCCCATGACCAAAAAAAGAAAAAACAAACAAACAAACTACAGAAAGGGGACTAAGGGTATAGCTCAGTGGTAAAGCATGTGCACAAGGACCTTAATTCAACCCTAGCATTGCAAAAGTAAATAAATATATAAATATGTGAAAACTAAAAAAAGGAATTATGCTCTACTTTCCATGAAAATATTTTAACAAATACTAAGATCAATATCCCTCTGTTTTATTAATGTGTAAGATTTAAACATTGTACATACACAAAATGTTAAATTTTAGAGAATATATTCTCTATAAAAGAATATGATATACATATGATGTATATATAAAATATATATCATGAAAGAGTAAATAACACACATATACCGAGTCATTAATTATAATGAAAAGATACTTACTGTATGCCAAAATCTAGAAATGATGGCTGGAAATGTAAGCCTTTTCCACTAAATAGTTTCTCTGAGAAGCTAAAAAACAAAATGAAGAGGAAGAGATAAGATACTCTTAGATTACGATTACTTTAACTTATCAACTGTATAGACTGAAATGGGGAAGGACTCTGTAGTCTTGATTTCTGTATAGACTCAGAAATATGGCTCTTTTCAATAAACTTCCAAATCTAGAAAGGGTATACCTACAGTAGATGTTGGCCCCTAAATCTGATAAGACTACTGGTAACAGGCAAAGGTCAGAATAGATACTGAGGCTGACACTACTTCTAGATCTCCATTTTTAGCAGATGTTAACATCATTGTGATCTCATCTTTCTTCAGAATCAAGGGCTACAAAATCAACACACCAGAAAAGCATACCAAAAAACATAAACAGGATATAATAAAGATACAGCAAAATAAACTAACAGATGAACTATCAAGTTGCACAAAAAAAAAAAAAAAAACAACTATAATCTAGAAAGGCTTAACTGGAGAAGCTGCTAAAGGTAACATGCATTGTTTTCAGAGATTCAAAGTAGCTTTCCAAAATAAACTCTTCCTATTTCTTCTCTCATCAAATTGCAATCTACCAGGCTGGCTCAGCTGTGGACATATTAATTTTATAAAGCTCTCTAGTCAACACAAAGCTTTGTGACCTTCAGCAAATCACTCTACAGATCCTATCTCTCTGCCAGTGGCAGTTCTTGAGTTTGAATTCAGGGCCTTCAGCTTGCTAGCCAGGCACTCTATCATTTGAGCCACATTCCAGTCCTTTTTGCCTTTTTTTTTTTTTTAATGGAATCTCACATTTATGCCTAGGCCAGCCTGGACTGAAATCCTCCTATTTAGGCTTAAGTGGTAGAGCACCAGCTGTGAACTACAAAGCCAAGCCAAGTTAGAATGTGAAGCCCTGAGTTCAAGCTCCAGTACTGACACAAAAGTAAATAAATATGTAAGTAAGTAAACACAGAGATCATGGTTCGAAGCCAGCCCAGGCAGGAAAGTCTTTTATTTTCAATAAACTACTCAGAAAAGCCAGAAGTGGTACTGTGCCTCAAGTGGTAGAGTGCTAGACTTGAGCACAGAGAGGCTCAGTGACAGGGCCCAGGCCCTTAGTTCGAGCCTGAGGACCAGAAATACAGACAGACAGACAGACAGACAGACAGAGGAGTTATTTTGCATCCCTGACAGAACACAGCAACAAATATAAGAAATGTAACCCCTGGGCCAGAGTGAGGGAAGAGGTGACACTGTCCAAAAAAGAAATGTACTCTACCTGACTGTAACTGTAATCCTCTGTACAACACCTTTTATGTAACCTTAGGTGTGTGAGATTGTCTTACTGTGTAGAAAATAGTCCATACACTCTTAGTTCTTGATGAGGAGGGGAAGCCACTGGGGAAAGAACTCCGGGCTCACAAATGTTCAGCTTACCCCTAAGCTAGCCTCTTCTAAGTCCTTATTTTAAAGATGCCTACCTTCAGCAAAGAAATAAGCCCTCTTAGAGGCAGAATGCATGGACTGGAACTCTGTACATGCTGTTTTTAAAAAGCAAGATTTATCTTTTCCTAAGGTCACTTTTCATCTTTTCCTCAAACTTAAGCTACATTTTTCTCTATACATATAAAACAAACAGCTTGAAAAATGGTTGCCTAAAAGTAAAGGTATTTCATGGGAAATAAAGCTGGGGTCAGGAGGCCCCACTACCTCCATGACAGGGCATGGGTCCCTTTTCTGCAGAAGGGGTGAGTTGTACTGGATCAATCTGACATCCTGTGATGTCTGACTGCCCAGATTCCTTATTCCTAAGAAAATTAAATCTATTTGCCAGTATTGGACATACTGGTTAAAGAAAAATAATCTTAGGGAAATGAATTAACCAAGTGTTTTGGCTATTAGGATGACATACTATCTGACCAAAAAATGTCATTTCAAAGGCAACAATTTGTTCCACTCCCCAAGTGAAAAGCATGGCCACTGAGTCTGGTCACAGCCTCACAGCCCTTTTGCAATCCAAGAGGGCCTAACTGCCATGAGGCAAGTGGCCAACCCAAGGAACATGCTCCCCTCATGTTTTAACACAGCAGATCAGTGAGACTCATATACTAACAAGCACAAACTCAATGCTTGGAGAGTTCAAAGAAACAAGAGGAGAAACTGGGGTAACGGGAGGAGGGGAACAGGGTAACAAAGGTTCCTTTCCTTTTTTCCCCCGCTTCCTTATACATTTTTGTTTTTCAGTTCTGGGTATGGAAGCCAAAACTTCATTCATGCTAGGGAAGGCCCCTATCACAAAGTCACAACCTAGATTCCAGTAGGTTTCAAAGAAGGGGCTCTATGAAATGAGGCTTGAAGAACAGTTACCATGGTGGACAGAGGCCATACTCCCCAGAGCTGAAAGCATGAACAAAGACATAAAGGTTAAGAAAACCATGAACCCTGTGTGGTAAACAGCACAGACCCAAGGAGAGGTGAGGAGGGAGGGAAGGAAAGCAGCAGCAGCTGGGCAGAGGTAGCCCTGGGCACCCATGGAAACTCTCAGCAAGGCCCTGCTGGACTACAAGGGGGAGTGCAGGTCAATTCCACCGATGCTTCAGGAGAGAAGTCTCCTCTGTTGTGGATCCTGCTGACTTTACACCTAAAGTAGATGGCTTGGACCCCTCTGAAGAGCTCCTGACCGGAGTTTCCATCTGTGCATTCTATGCATGGGTGACCGTAACACCTCCAGATTCCACCTTGGAATCCAAGATGGCATCCAGCATCATGTGTAACCCCTGTGGGGTCAGTGTACTAGTTTCCTACCTTGATGGATGGCTTGCCTATGTCAGGTACAGATTCCTGTACCTTCCTTAACCCACATACAATCAATGCTGGAGGAGTGCTGTCCTAGGATTTCATACTTTCACATCACTTAATCTGCCACCTCCTCTCCATTCTCACTATCAAGATTTAATACTCAAAAGGAACTAATTTGCAATTCAAAGAACCTTAAAAATATATCATTACATTTGCACATTTAATCATACTACATTTCACATGCAAAAAAAATAAGTATTTTAGCCAAGTGGCTAACTGGCTTAACAAAAACTAAAAAACAGGCCAGCAATTAAACATGTGTTTCCCTGGTTCCCATTCCAACTTTCTCTGTTTCAGTTTACCATTCTCCACCAGTTAAGGATCTGATATCGATATCAGACTCTAGGGTTAAGTCATTCTATTATATATTAAAATAATTAAGCATGATTTTAAAATGTACTAAATATCTACTCTGCCTTTTACCTCTAGGATAGCAAATTACCATGAGATGCAATTCAATATTAGATTCATTAGATTTCAGCCATATGCTAATATACATAGGAAAGAAGAGACTAATGCAGTCATAAGCTGCACTCTGCAGTGACCCAGCAACAGTAGCAGACACCCCTTTCAATTCATCCAGGGGATTTAATTGTTGTTAATTGTACAGTTCCACTCATATGCAAATCACACATCAAGAATTTTCCTTTTAAATTGTAATTTTTCTTTCAATTCCTCCAGGCCCTGAAGTGTAATTGCTGAAGAATGGGCAAAAGAAAAGAACAGCCCTGCTAGGTCCTTCAGGCCCAGAACTAAGCACCTTAGCACAAGTCCCCACCCCATCTGTTTGCCTCTCACTGCCAGGTCTGCTCCCGCTTTGCACCTGGTTCTCCTTTTCACCCCCATCTCCCCTAACAATTTTCTCTCTCCTTCCAGTGTGAAAGGGTAACAAGCATCCCATGCACAAAAGCAAATGCAGCTGTGAAATAAACACCAGCCATAGAACACATCACGTGGTTTAATCTATTCAATCCTTATAGCCACCAGTTCCAGCTCAAGACTGTAACAGTGATCTGGGGGGGGGGGGGGGGGGGGAGGGGGGGGGAGGGGAGGGAATGCTGCTGTGACAAGTAAACATGAAAGAAACAAAAAGCTGTTGTACAAAACCTGATTACAACAGAAAAAAAATACTCAGAGGAAAATAAAGTTATTAGGAGAATCTTCACTGCAGCAGTGGGAACAGAGGAGTATCAGTAGCATTTCTCTGGATTTTCCAAAACTTCCAAGAGCTTCAGCCTCAGAGAATATAAAAATGGTATAAAAGTGGTATGCTTTTAATAACAACAAGAACAATAGGAAGGTATGTTCTTTCTAAATATAGTTTATAATTATATTCCTTGTTATGGATTCAGACCACACATTTCCAATTCATAAACTTTTAAAAAGCTAACAAAAGTTTTAATTGCAATATACTTGGCTATAGTATATTGCTGGATTCTCCCTAACTCCTGTTACTTCTCAAGTCTCTCCTGCTCCCAATGTGGACACCGAGGCTCATCCTCGGCCCTCTGGCTCTTACCTAAAATCATCCAACCCCAGCACTCACTTCGGCTCTCAAATCCCCACAGGTGCAGGAATAAGCTTTTGGTCTTAGCCACAACCCCCTCTGCTTACAAGGCCCAGCCTTGGAACCATCCTTGATCATGCTCCAGTCTGTCAGAAATTCTATGTACTTTCAAAACATAGCCAGAACCTCATCCATGCAACTGTCAGTCCAAGTACCAGCTGAGGGCAGCACTCAGTACTAACCCATTGCCTTGAAAAATCTAATTTAGGTCCAGTCCTTGCTCAGGTCACAATTCCCAGATGACTCCCACTTTTCAAAGGTGTCTCCTCCATACCACATAGCACTTAATTTCCTCTGCTCCTTGGTACATATTCCGTCCCAGCCACAGGGTCTTGTGGCTACTCTTAAGAACACTTCAGATATACAGAAAGCCAAGGCCTTGCAGACACTAATAATAAAACTATTTTCTTAACCAGATAGCTCATGGCAAATTCCTTCCTAATCTTCAAGTCTTATAAAATCTCACCCTGCTGATGGACCTCAACCCCCTACCACCATTAACCACAGGCCCTGGCCACAATCATGACCTCATCCCTTTTCCTTGCCTTTCTTCTTTGTGCCTATACTAGGGCTTAAACTCAGGGCCTCAAGCTATGGCTTAGCTTTTATT